ATTGGTTAGCTGCTTGACTGCTAGTACACGAAGGACTATATGATCTCAGTTGCATCAGTCCAGTTCTCACTGAGATCAGCCAGTTACTTTAATGGGAAGACGTGTTGAGGCCTAATAAAGTAGCATGTTGTCCTGTTCAAGGAAAATGTTTTGTAAGTCCAGGGTTTTATTTTTTTATTTTCCATGACACACTGGAGAAATGAGTGTGTGTAACAAAAAAGTGACTAATCTCAACAAGCTGTTATCAAAATAGCATACAGCTTCTGTTAACGCAGTTATAACAGTGTAATCTTAATTCGTCAGTAGACCAAATGGATCAGCTTTTCTAAATGTCTACTGTCAAGCAAGGTGAATGCCGTGTCTGTTATGGTCAGTAAGATATGGAATATATGTTACATATATGCAACCCACTCATCCAAAACAAAACTTTTATCCGTGAGGAGAGCCTATTTGGGTTTACGTTAGTTTCTTGTGAGCAACAAAGTTATTGCCTCACCCAATTATTTAGCCAGAAATAATTATTGCATTTGAAATATGGAAGTCTTTGAATGATTTCAGATGCATACAATTCTACTACAGCATCGTGCTTTCCCTGCAATGTAATGTAAGGTCTGCAGAGAGATTATTTAGGGCAGGGGAGAGGCAACCTTTTTGGTATGCATGCCACAAATTAGCCTCAGACCCTCCCCGAGTGCCTTTCTGATCCCATTCCTCTGTCTGATCTGCTGCACTGCTTTCTGCTCCCTACTCTGTGTTCCCCACCTGATGTCTTGCTCTGCTTTCTGCTCCCTGCCGTATTTGCTGCCATATTGCCTATCCCCTCCCTGATCTGCTGCACAGCACCTGTGCAGCAGAGGCTGCCCATTCCACTTGTGGCAGTCATGCAGCAGTTTGGCCCAATCAAGGGCTTAGGGCTTTCGCTAATGAAAGGCACATAAGCAATTGTTCAAGTTAGTTTCTTGGGTGACTGTTATCTGCTGCAGGCTGATCTTAAGATGTAAGGGCTAGATCCAGAAGTGGACTTAAAAACTCTTAAACTGAACATGTTGATTGCTAACTTTTAGGTGTGCAGCTCCAGGGTGGAATCTGTAACCTTGAATTAGACATCTAGCCTAGGGACAGACATTATGCATAAACCGGTTTAAGTGATCAGAATTGGGTTTAAACTGCCCCCCCCCCACGCCCCCTCGCTGCTGCAGCTGTGGGCCATCATGGCCCCTGAGGCAGAAGGGGGCGGGGAGGGGGGTTATTCTCCCCTCTACCCTCACTGCCCCTGAGGGGCCGCAGCCAGCTCTGCCCACCCCGACTGCTGCCGAGTGGCAGAATAAGCCCCCTCTTGTCCTCGCTGCCTGATGCCAGAGGAAGAGGGAATAACCCTGTCCTTGACCCCCTCAAGGGGCCCTTCCAGCTGGCGTCTGGCCCTGCCAGATGGGGGC